CAGTTTAAATTATTAAAACATGTATAAATCACACCTTCAACATCCAACTCAAATAAACAAACAATAAATATTCACACAGCACGTGTTTTATAAAAATACTTCATATCTATGTGTAAGGTGAAAGTAACTACACACTCACCTGATTTAATGAAAATCGGGCAGCAATTCGTTTCCTAAAACGATCGTTTCTAATAAAACCGGGAGTTTTATTGAGAAACCGGGCTCTGCAAAGGGTCGTGCTTCGAAACCGAAAAGATAAATTTTTCGGGCTTCTCGGGCACTTCGTGGCGTATTCCGGGTGTTAGAATCGATATCGGGGCTTCGGGGAATGTTAAGATGAAGAAATATGGAAAAAGGGGCTAAATATGGCAAAATCTCAAAAGTAACCGGGAGGGTTCGCATTACCCTTCTATTTATAGTGTCCGAAGGTCGGCTTAGAAGAGTGGGGTCCGCAGGCGAAGGTGCGCAGGTGCTCGCACATGGGTTGCGCATGCGAGGGCCTCGCAGGAGGCTTCTGATTGGACCGCTACGGACAGCACCTCAGTTCGGACACGTTGCTGATGACACACCGAGATCAGACACGGGGCAGCCTCCTATTGGACCGAACCTCGGACTCGCGCAGAACATGACACGGCTCGCCACGTGGCTTCGGTGACTCAGCAGGTTCCGGACACGCGTCGGATGCGAAGCGAGGACACGTGGCCGAAGTCCACGTGTGCAAAATTCCTCGGTTTTGGGGATTTTTCTCGGTTTTTCACGCTAAAACTTCTAAAATCCATAACTTTCGCATACGAGCTCCGTTTTTGACGTTCTTTATATGCACGCGTAGGTAAAATTACACTCTACAACATTCGTTTAGACTTCGTCGGCTAATTTTGAATTTAATTTTTATATTATTATTTTTAACAGACCGGGACAGGAAATCCGTTAAAAATTCATAACTTCTTCATCCGACGTTTTCGTCAGACGTTTTACCGATGTGCTACTAATGAAAATACCTTCGATTCTGGTTTAGGTCATGTTGGCTAAAAATCACTCGATCTAAAATTCGAGTTTTTAGCTGTCTACTGCTAAGCTGAAACTTCAAAAAATCATAACTTCCTCATACGAAGTCAGATTTGGGCGTTCTTTTTATCGAACTTCTCGATTTAACGAATACTACGAGTTTCGTTTAGATTACTAAGGCTAAAAAGTAGTTTATCAAAAACTCACTTTTTACGCATTCGGCACCGTGCCGGTTTTGTCGCGAAACTCCGACAGGTCATAACTTCTTCGTTATAACTCGGATTTCGGCATTATTTATATATCCGTAATCCTTGTCACGCCCACTACATGTTTCTTAATAGATATCGGCTTTATCTAAAATTTAATTTTTGACGCTCATTTTTATTCTTAATTATTTAAACCCTAATAATTAAGCATAAAACACATTAAACACATAATATTCACATAATTCCTTTTCATTTCTTCTAAATGAGTTACAAAGGTTAATTAAGCATAAAACACATAATATTCACATAATTCCTTTTCATTTCTTCTAAATGAGTTACAAAGGTTAACTTAGACCATTATGTCAATATTAATGCCTAGCCTAGAAACACGGGCGTTACAAAAATGTACCACAAAACACACAAGAGGCTCAAATTTAGCTCAAGAGGATTAGGGTTCCGAGTTGGGTGTCAAAGAGGGTGGTGGTTGATGATAAGAAGGGCCTCAAAGGGTTAGAGTCCTTAAATAGGGCTAAAAACCTTAAAAATTAGGTTTGCACCTTACGCGGTTATGCCGTGCGTAACTAAGGTTACGCCCTGCGTAGTGTATAAAACCCTCGCATGGGTTTAATGAATTACACTTAGCGTAATCAACCATCTACGCCCCACATAGAACCTTAACTCCCAAAAATATAAAATTAAAAAAACATAAAGAAATGTACCTGAGGAACGGGTGTTACACCAGTGGAAACAAAAAAATGTAAACAAGACGCTGAAACATGTCCCAAACGAGAATGCCAAAGATAAAAAACAGACGACGAAGGGTTTAAACGAAAAGACGACAAATCGACACTAGATGCAGAAACATCAACAACATATAGCTGATCCAAAACTTAAAGCTCCCCAAGTCTACGACCTATCTTAATGACCCTCCGAGACCGAATGTCCTGTACACATTAGAATGAATCAGAAAAGAAGACCCAACAACCAGACTTACACAACTGACTGACTGAAGCAAGATTCAAAGAAAGTGTAGGAATATAGTAGACATCTATTAAAGATATATAAGGAGTGACAATATAACCAACAGCCTCTACTGACATTGGTGTAGTACTAGCAGACATAACAAAGACATGTGTACGAGATGATAACGAAGCAAAAGATGAAGAATGTGGTGACATATGATGAGATGCACACCATGATCCAATATCCACAAGGATGAAGGAATACCTGAAGTGTTAGATGAAGACATACCTGAATGAGACATGGAAGCTGACATGGCAGTTGGCTTGGCAGCAATAAACTGTGTTAACTGCTCAACAATCTGGGGATCCAAGGCTGATGGTGATGTAAAATCTGTCTCATTCTCAACTGAAGGTGCAGCAGCAACGTACTGTTGTGGCCTAAAAGATGGAAACGAGGGACGTGATTTAGACTGTCCAGAAGACATGTTCTGATGTGAAGGCTGAGAGAGTGCATGTGATCTCGTTTGTTGTTCCTGTTGATTTTCCTTGCTTATTAGCAAAGGACAATTTGCCTTCTAATGGTTCTTCTTCTTACAGAATACACACTCATCAAATGTAACTTTGGGTTGATTCTGGTTTGAATATTGAACTCGTTGTGGAACAGCAAAGACAATATGAGTGGGTGTTTTGGGATATTTGTCAGCATGGGACTTGATACGAGTTTCTTCAGCAATCAATTTGTAAACAACCGAATGAAGAGTGGGAAGAGGTGTGCTATGCAAGATTGATCCACGCAAGCCTTCAAAATATGAACGTAATGCCATCAAGAATTGAACCAAATGTTGCTATTCCCTTCTATCACTATAAGGCTTAAAAGCCTTAAACACATCAATTTCTGTAAGAGCCAACTCATCCCACAAATTCGACATAGCTACACAAAATTCACGAACAGTGAGATTGTTTTGTTGGAGGGCTTGAATATCAAACTATAACTGATATTGCTTTGCAAAATTAGACTGATTATACAGCCTAGCCAAGTGATCCCAAACATCCTTGATGTGTCATATTTCGCCAACTAAGTACCAATAGACTACATAACAAAATTATTAATCCAAGTAATGATCTTGGAGTTATCAGTTTCACGTGAATCCCGTAAGGTTGCATAATTTCCAGTCTTTTCATCTGTGGAACAGCAAAGACAATATGAGTGGGTGTTTTGGGATATTTGTCAGCATGGGACTTGATACGAGTTTCTTCAGCAATCAATTTGTAAACAACCGAATGAAGAGTGGGAAGAGGTGTGCTATGCAAGATTGATCCACGCAAGCCTTCAAAATATGAACGTAATGCCATCAAGAATTGAACTAAATGTTGCTCTTCCCTTCTATCACTATAAGGCTTAAAAGCCTTAAACACATCAATTTCTGTAAGAGCCAACTCATCCCACAAATTCGACATAGCTACATAAAATTCACGAACAGTGAGATTGTTCTGTTGGAGGGCTTGAATATCAAACTATAACTGATATTGCTTTGCAAAATTAGACTGATTATACAGCCTAGTCAAGTGATCCCAAACATCCTTTGATGTGTCATATTTCGCCAACTAAGTACCAATAGACTACATAACAAAATTATTAATCCAAGTAATGATCTTGGAGTTATCAGTTTCACGTGAATCCCGTAAGGTTGCATAATTTCCAGTCTTTTCATCTGTTGGTTTCTTCTTGTCACCTATAACAATCCCCAACACAGTCTTGCCTCGCAATAAATTCTTCATAGCATAACTCCAATAGGCATAGTTCTTGCCATCGAGTTGGATACTAATGAACTGAAGAGAATCGTCTCTCGGGGCCATATTTCAAACACCAGTCAAACGAAAATAACCAAAACAACAGTAAATATGAATAAGAACAACAACAATCAAGATCTCGAAATCAACAAAACCAACAAACGAAACAAAACCCTAGAAATCGACGAAACGAACAAATCAAATCAAACGGAATACCGAAACGAACAAATCAATCTGCGCAATATTGTGCCTGCTACAATTCACCCCCAAAAACGAAAGTACAGATGATCAACGACGCTCTGATACCATGTAAACTAACAAGACATAGAACTGCTAAGGTTTCATATTATTATCAAATGAGAAGTACAATATACAATGAAAACAAAAAACATAATATATAAACTAGCTAATTAGGGATTTCTAGCTAATGAACCAACATTTCTCAATACAAAATAAAGCCCGAAATCTTATTAGACTAATAATAACATCATACGACAATCTTTTAAATTATAATCATAGAGTGTTGTGCTTAACAACCTCGTTAACATCATTACAATATGATACACTAATCTTATTTGAAATAACCACTTTCATATTATGATTTTGATAAATTTATGTCCACTTCGTAAAGATAGACATGAATTTTCACAACTTCACTACAAAACAAGATTAAAATCCATTTTTCAAACAGTGTATATATCACGCAACACATAAGTCTTGTAAGTTGTATCCTTCCTTTCAAAACAAAACACGTATTAAGAAGCTAACATGTATACGTAACATGGTTAAATTCACATGATCATATAGCAAACGAATAAAAACATTAGACATGAATTCTAAATCGTTTATGTTATGTGTCAAGAAATATCTCAATTGTGGGCAACATTGTAATTTCCCGTCCAGAAAAAACTAAGATCCACGTGGTGACAAGATGAGGTTTTTGTAACGTGTGGTCATCACACTTATCCCTTCTTCTCTAGATATTTTTGACTCTCAATTTTCATGAAAAAACTTGATAAAAACCCCACACCCATCCCACAAAAATTGGAATCATTGCACTTTCCTTTTGTGATATTTTTTAAGGAACATTTTTTAAATTATTCCACCAAGTCCAACGACATAAAATGGCCACGGTGGCGAAATTTCACATTGTTCCGGCGAACTTCCACCACAGAACCACCCAATCTCCGCTTTCCCAACTGGGTTTCTGCCGGAGCTCAGTATCGTGGGACTCAATACCACCATTTTCTCGACGGAGGGTGTTTGTGCAGCCGTGTAAATCGTTTAGAACCGAAGATAGGAAAAACGGAGGTGCAAAAGATAATAAAAGTACGAAGAAGATAGCGAATTCTGATAAAAACTTAAGAAAAAACTTACTGGGAGCTATCAAATCTTTCATCTTTTCGAAAGATAATTCAGTGGAAAAGCTAGAAGAGAATTTATCAAAGGTTAGTTCTTTAAACTTCATTTATGACTAAAGTTTGACTGTTTATGCTTTCTTGTTGCATGAATTGTAAGTTGTGTTAAAAACCCTGGTTTTATGATTGATGTTCTTGTTAAACTCTTGAATTCTCTCCTGAAATACTAGCATAGATGGTTCTTTATAAATAGGGATTTTGTTATTATTCTCATTGCTAACAGTTATATATATTATTTATTTATGTTTTATATGGTAGAATATGATAGAATGTTGTTCTTGGGAAATGTGTAGATTGCTCTTCATTTTGGGAGATATATTGTGACAATGATGAGCACTGGAGTAATTTTGTTGATTGGATTCAATTTGTCAGGTTAGCTTTAGCTTAAGATTCTACATTTAATCAAAGATTAAATTAATTCTTTTTAGAAATATTAACACCAAATTTTGAATGAAGGCGGAGATGGTCAAATGAATGATTTGATTTGGTATAGTTGGGTTGGAGGCATTATCATTGGAACCATGATTGGTTCCAACATGGTTTTAGATGAAGTTAGTCGGGCCGGTCCTCGAAATGTTGTCATAACCGGAAGGTACGTTGTGTTTTTCTGTATTTTATACTGATATGGATAAAAAGGGAAAAAAGTTTATTAATAATTAGAATATGAAGTAATTTTAGTTGGTATATCAATAAAGTGATTAAAGTAGATTGTACTTTTCTTGATTTTTCAACTCCCATTATGTGCCTTTTATTATTGTATGCTTTTGTAATATAACTTACAGATTAATTTTAATTTGTTGGTTTTGTTGGTTATAGTACTAGAGGGCTTGGAAAAGCTCTTGCTCGTGAATTCCTACTTTCCGGAGATCGTGTGGTCATTGCTTCAAGAAGGTATTTTTGAAGCCCATTTTGTTATATTTTATACAAGACAAAACATGACATGACACATGATGACCTTATACTGTTTTTGGCAATATGATATCAATGTGACAGAACACAACATAACGGTCTTATACTGTGTTTTTTTTTCCTTAGCGAAGAATCTGTCGATATGACAATTAAAGAACTTGAAGAAAACTTACAAGAAGGTGTAGCATCTGCCGCAAGTTCATGTAGGAAAAAATTAGCGAATGCAAAAGTGGTGGGAACTTCATGTGATGTTTGTGATCCTAATGATGTTAGGAACTTAGCTAACTTTGCTGTCAATGAACTCGGTTCTATAGATATTTGGGTGAGCAATTTATAATTATTTAAAATTAAAGATTTGTGTTTTATGTAGTGTTGAAATTTGGAATTATGTTACTTTCTTGGTTGCTAATCGTGTTGTTTTACAGATAAACAATGCTGGAACTAACAAAGGTTTCAGACCATTGTTGGAGTTCACCGACCAAGATATACAACAGGTTTGTGTGTGCCTATTAGATTAATTAGTTCATACGAAAAAATACTATAAAAACACTTGTACTTTCAACATTTTATCGATTTAGCTACTTAACTGTTTATGTGCTCATTAAACTATAATATTTTTTGGCTATAAGGAAAAAAATATATAAAAAGCACAATGTCCTTTCACTATTTTTTCTATTTAGCCACTCGATAAAACGGTGCTTTTTTTTTTTTTAATTCTAATCTTTTCCAATGCCAGGTAATCTGGAAAATGATTTTCTTAAACGATAAAAAAAAGTGTAATAGTTTAATCACTATAGAAAATAATTAACGTCTTACCAGGTTAAATTGAAAAATATTTGTGAAACTTCTTTGTACTTTACCATAATTTTTAAACATTTGTATTATCTTGATTCGCTTCCCCACCTCATGAAAATTTTAAATTTGGAATTTTTTATAACACTTCTTATTTGGCGATTTTAAATAGATTGTGTCTACAAATCTGGTGGGGTCGATACTTTGCACCCGTGAAGCCATGCACGTGATGAGTAACCAACACAAAGCGGGTCATATTTTTAACATGGATGGTGCTGGTTCCGGTGGATCAAGCACGCCTCTGACAGCTGTGTAAGTTTTTAGTCTTTTATGCAGGACAACTGTACTGCATTTAGCATGCATTGGATTAGTATTGACACTAAAGTCACTATGCCAAAATGTTTCAAACATTTGTCCCATCCAAAAATATATATGAGACATGCACCCGCTCTCAATCTCTCGTCTGTGCAAATGACGTAAATGCTCTCCTCATCAAAAATAGTCGTCTGGTAACAAACAAAACCCTAGATTTTTTTACTTGTTCATCTGATGAAACCCACCTTTTTCACAGCTACGGGTCAACAAAATGTGGTCTTAGACAACTTCAATCGTCTTTATTTAAAGAAAGCAAAAAGTCAAAAGTTGGAGTTCATACGGCCTCTCCTGGCATGGTTCTCACCGACTTACTCTTGAGGTACATAAATCTTTATAAAAGAATCAATTTATGATATAATCATTTTTTGAGCTGCACACAGACCGGGCCCACCTTGGGCCCGGTCCTAATGTGCAACTCTAATTCTTTTGATGAAAAATGTTTTACGAAAAAACTTTGGTTTTTTTGTTGGACAGTGGATCGACTATTCAGAATAAGCAAATGTTTAATATAATTTGTGAGCTACCAGAGACAGTTGCTAGAACATTGGTCCCACGGATGAGAGTTGTAAAAGGAAGTGGAAAGGCGATTAATTACTTAACTCCTCCAAGAATTTTACTTGCATTGGTCACTGCTTGGGTAAGGCGAGGACGATGGTTCGATGATAAGGTACAATTTATATATATATATATATATATATATATATATATATATATATATATATATATATATAAAAGATAAGGTCATGAAATGGCATCTTACTTTCCACTTAGGTCAATGTTCTTTTTTTTTTGTACAAACCTAGTCAGTGTACTTTCTAAAAGTGTCTTATTTATGTCATTTGATGAATGTTTTTTGACTTTCTTGAGTCAGCTCATCAACATTTTGGTTTAACAAAACACAACGATCATTCCTAAAATTAATGAAATTACAATGCCTTTTCTTGCATTTAACCCTTTTCACTAACTAAAATTAATGAAATTACAATGCCTTTTCTTGCATTTAACCCTTTTCACTAACTATACTTCGCAAATTGTTTAGTACTGTTGTATTAAACCAATGTTGATTACATGACTCAAGAAAATCAAATTGTATTTAAACTGAGTTAACAAGTGGGAATTTTAATAGATTTCCAAACATTCCATGAGTTTAGTTGTTTGAATGAAATAGATATGCAAAAAAAAAAGAGTTGTGAAATTAATAAAAATATGTTCTATGATATAGGGAAGAGCATTATATGCAGCAGAAGCAGATAGGCTAAGAAACTGGGCTGAAAGTCGAACTCGTTTTTCATTCACAGACGCCATGGAAATGTACACAGAAAACACGTGGGTCTCTGTCTTTTCACTTTCTATAGTTTGTGCATTTATTATCCTCTCGAGCACCACTGGTAACGCGGCACCTGGCACATAGACAATTTTTCGTCATGTTGATTCAATTTAAACATTAGGGTTTTTGTAAAGAAAACTAGCAAAATGCGATGTGTTCTTTGTTATGGGATGAACAAAGCAAATCTCCATTGAGATGCTTGTTGATTTGATTTAAAATTAGGGGTTAGTAGTTGATTCAAGGAGTCTTGTATTAGATCTACCTTGCAAATGTAATGTAATGTAAACTGTATTTATTTGTTATTGTTGATATTTGATGTGTAAAGAGTCTTGCTGTTGTGAAGGTCTAATTGATGGTAAGAGAACTTAATAACAATATGGACAATATTTTAGCTTTTTGTACATTTGGCCCTTACATTATTAAAACATCACACATTTATTTATAAAATTAATACATGGGTTTTTGTCGTAGTTGTATCGTAAGATCTCATTCCTCAATGAAGTTGAGGGTTAATAGGTGTAATTAAGACTAGTGAGGATGTTATCACATCCAAAAGTTGTCACTAGTTAACGGGTGTTATCATATCCAAAAGTTGACACCTCACATGTCATGTTACTTTACGATGTTATAACATAATACGACGAAATGGACAACATGTTATAACACCCTCAATTTTCCATGTCATCACTTTTTTTTACGATTTATTTATTTTCTATTTTTTCCAATTTGTTTTTATATTTATGTTCTAATATTTATAAAAAAAATTATAAATAATTAAGACATGTTATTTAATTAAATCCTAAATTAAACATAACATTAAAAAACCGAAAATAACATTACACCAAAAAAAACATTGAAAGGAAAAAATATAACAGTCCTAGTCTAAATATTTCTTCTCGATCTTCCTTCATCTTTCGGAGCACTTGCACTTCTCCTTCGACATATCGTCCTCGCGGGTCCGAAGAATTGTCAAATCCTTCACCATTGGATCTTCCTTTGCTTGACGACGAAGAAATTCCAAGTGTTGGCGTTGCACTTCGACCATTCCTTTTGCTATTAAATTGTGTTTGTCAAACTTTTCTTTCATTTCCACCAACTCTTGTGTCCTTCTTTCGGTTTCATCCGCGTGTCGTTGAGCGTGCTTTGCATTGTCGCACCTGACCGGTCGACATAGGGGGGACCTCTTCGATGTCTTTGTGGATGTCATCCGTGTCAGCATTGATGTCGATGTTAGTTCGTGCATCGGAAATGTCAAACGAACTAGAATTGTGAGACTTCTTTGATTGTGCATCTGATGATGTTTGCGCTTTAATCCATTTGGATTTTTTCTAACAATCTCCCATATTTTTTCATACTTGAAAAGCATGCCCTACTTCGATGTGATATTGTTCCCTCGCAGCTTTGAACAAATCGAAATCATTCGCACCACTTTGCTTTTGCGAAGAAAGTCTCATGAAAATTCTATTAAACTTGGTGCACCGACGACAGATTAGAGTCCACTTTCTATTAAGCATATTGACATTGCGATATGGTTGTTTCTTCAAAATCGCTTGAAATTTTCCGAGCATGGCTTCCCAAAAACCAACTCTCATAATATCATTTCCCACAGTTTGATTTTTTGAAGTCTCACACCACACCACGACACCACCAACACATACTCCTCCTCTGGTGTCCACCATAGTGGAGCTTCTTCTTCACTTTCTGCGATCTCTTTCCCTTTCTTTTTCCCTTTCCTCTAGCTTTCCAACTGCCTCCCTCTTGCATTTCAGGAACCTTATCTTCCATTGGTTGTGTAGGCGGTGGTTGTGTAGTTGTTTGTGGCATGAAAGCAAATGTATTAAATAGATTTTATTGAAGGTTTGGATTTTGTTGTATGTAGGGTGATATCTGAAATTGCATTGGGGTGAGGTGAGATTGAAATAGTTTCCTAAAAATGGTATTTGTGGTGAGTTTTGAGAGTTAAGGAGGTTCATATAGCCTTCGCATTGTGCGAACCCCATCAGAATGAATATGTTTGTGTTTGGAGGAGGGGTCTTCGAGTTTTGCTCCATAGGGTGATACAAAATCTCACAGTCATAATCCTTTACCAAATCTAACCACTTCCGATGTCTAATATTCAGGCTAGACTAATCCATCCGGTATCTTGGGCTCTTGTGGTCAGTGTAGATAGTGCATCTAACCCTATACAAGCAATGCCTGCAAATCTTGAGGGCAAAAACCACAACCCCTAACTCTAAATCGTGCATAGGGTAATTCGCCTCGTGAGGCTTTAACTGCCTCGAAGCGTAAGCAATCACATGACCTCTATGCATGAGTACTGCTCCCAATCCCGAGATAGACACGTCTTAATAAACCAAAAAATCCTCTATAACCTCGGGAAAAGTGAGAATCGGGGCCTCGCATAATCTTTATATCAACGTCTCGAAAGCTGCCCACTGATAAGGCCCCCAACGGAAAGTGAAAATTTTCTTCGTCAAGCGAGTCAATGGTATAACAATCTTGGAGAAACCATGGATAAATCTATGATAATAACCCGCTATGCCAAGAAAACTCCGAATCTCCGATGGTGTCCTCGGAACATCCCACCGCGTCACCACCCCAATCTTGGCAGGATCGACCGATATACCCTTCTGGTTAACAATGTGCCCTAAAAATTGCACCTCTTGCAACCAGAACTCGCACTTAGAGAACTTGGAATAAAGTATCTCTCTCCTTAGGGTCTCTAGTACCTACCTCAAATGATTCTCGTGTTGCTCCTTAGTCTTGGAGTAGACCAGGATATCATCAATGAACACAATCACTAAACAATCCAACATCAGTTTGTATACCCGGGTCATGTCACACCCCCAAACCAGACGGCGGAAACGTCCGAGGGCTCGCGTGACTTAAATTGAAATATCATCACAATGAATATACATGAAACATAACATAAACATCACCATGCATTATCTGTTACCTGATAGTCACATAACATAACATCCTAACACACTCGGAAATTTTCTTCAGCTTTTCTGTTACCTGAGAATACAAGTTATTTTGAAAACGGTCAACATATATAATGTTGGTGAGTTCATAAGTAGGTTTGATATGAAAATGTTTTGTGTAGTTTGTAAAATCCAGAAAATCTGATATTTTCTTAAACGACAATTGTTTACGAAATAGGTGTGATGATCCATAAGTATATGCGTGAATGATCTCAAAATATGAAAAAGTGATATGTTTCTCATAATGAATTCTTGTATTGAAAGTGCAAGTGAATAATGTTGTTTCCCCGGAAAACCCGATGTTTTCCGATAAAATAGTATGTTCGTTTTGTATTATTGTATCGTCACAACGAATGAATATGATTTCCCATGATTACTTAGATGGTATTGGATCTCTATGTGAGTCGTTATAACCATGCATAATAATGACTAGTTCGTCTGTCTTGGCATTCTTGCGAATGCCGGTATTGAAATTAAGATTTTGTCACCCTAGACTGGCCGAGTCTAACTGTAGCGAACAGCTTAGGTGTGGGGGAGTCACCCCTGTAGAGATCTATACACAAACTCTCGCTCTCCCTCTCCCTCTAGGAGACTTTGATTATAACTGCAGACTACGACCGACACTTATTGGTGTCGCCCGTTATTACTCACTAAATCCAAATAAAATTGAACAACCTTGGTTAGCGACCTAATTTTTGTTTACTTGAATAGAAGATAAGCCTAACAGACGGAGAGAAGAGGACTACGGGGGCCCACTAATCGCGTATGTTATTAAAGGCTGTCGAGTATGCGAAGGACACGTTCGCCCATCACGCATATGATTTATTTGGACCTTACTAGCAATGCAAATGGGCCACTAAATAGCATGTAAAAGCCATTGAGGGTCCATTAGGCATGTAATTGGGTCACCTGAGGCCCAATAAACATGTGTATTTATGTTGGGCCCAAAAATCATGATATTGGGTCACAAAGGCCCAATAACACTAAAAGAAGGTATTTGAGTCCAACCATTGAATCGTTTATGTTTTATCGAGTTTAAGTTCGTATTGTTGATATTTTTGTTGTCTACTAAATGTTTATTCACAATGTTTAAAAAGAAATGACTTAACGTTCAACGAAGCTTTAGTTATATATATATATATATATATATATATATATATATATATATATATAATTACACATTATAAACTTGATATTTTTAACCCAAACATTTATAATTGTTTATTTGGCCCAAAAACATTTAGATTGATCATTGTGGCCCCTTTTTCTATAAAAATGGCACTTTTAGTCCCTTTTTATGAAAATTTACATTTTTGGTCCTTAAACCATTTTTCTTGACATTTTCCACCCAAACTTTATTTGAATAGAAATTTTAGCCCAAAACTATTGCATTTGTCATTTACAGCCTTTATTTGTAAAAAGTTTACATTTTTGGTCTGAATTCCGTAAGTTTTACAGTTTTGACCCCAAATTCAAAAACTTTGCAACTTTAGTCCAAATTTGGTAATAAACTCATTTTTTAACCCCTGAAAAAGTTTATTTACATTTTAGACCCATAGTTTGTTAAATTTTCCAATTCAGCCCCTCAAAACCTCATTTTTTCGCTACCTTGGGCCCAAAACCCATTAGGCCCAATTGTAAGCCCATTAAGCTAAAATTTATGTTTTTGACCCTTTAAAAAGTGTTATTTTCATAGAAATCAGCTTTTATACAAATAAACAACTTATAACCCTCATAAAACCGACAATTTACAATTTATACCCAATCTTTGTTATTTTGCAAAAATGACACTTGTAAGGTTCTTTTGGTTTTATTTTTCACTTTTTAAACTTAAGGACCCATAGATCTATGATGTATGTTGTTTATTATATTTTTGTTTATGATTCTTTCACCCTTCTTGCTATAGATCTCGAAATATCACAAGTATTACACATTATCACAACCAAAAACTAAGGAAATCACACATAACATGCAAACACACATAGATCATCACATAGTACTTGTATTCTCCCCCCAAAAACAAGTAAAAACCGAAAAAAAAAAGGGGGTATGAACTCACCTTGCTTAGTTGCTCACGGTTTTGTAGATGAAATGGAAAAGATTGATGAGATTCTCGGCCCTAACAATCTTCTTGAAGAGACCTTCGAATTTGAAGGGTTCTAGGGAGTATGATCAAGAATTTAAGGTGGTAAGAAGAGTGATTAAGTTGTAGAAAGAAAGTATGTTGACAAGATCTTACCACAAGTATGTATCTTGGAGTGATTTTTGGATGAAAACCTTCTTGAAATGCCCTAAATCTCGAAAAAATGGAAGGAGGAATGAAGGT